CGGTCGTGAACAATTTCAGCCCCACTCCACTGGTCTTATGTTGCTAAGCCGTGTTTGGTAAGCTCAGCCAACGCACCGGCTATCCGAAATGTGTCGCACCGATGGTGACCTTGGGGGTGCGTCATTCTCTGCAATGTGTTTTTCCATGTCTGGGCGCGTCCTGCCACCATGGTGTTTTGCTTGCTCCTAGTACGTATGCGGAATACTGTCCGTTACAGCGAATACGCTACAGTAAAATTTTTATGGCATTACTGGGAAAAGTTAATCCCGAAACGAAAATGAAATGAATTCTTTGGGACTAATCAAGCGTCGCCAATATTCTGCTGGCCGGATGCACGGTAAATGGATACGGTAAATGGATAGTTTTCGAAAGCATAAAATGTGCTATGAAGCCTAGAAAGCATGTGTTACGGTAGTTAATACCAGAACCACCAGTTTCAGACATGTTTTCGCACTGCTCACTCTGATTCAGTTTCCCGTAAGCTGGTTGTTCTTAGGATGAGAATCTGATAGTCAAATCCAGGAATTCAACATACGGATATGTTACTGAGTATTTTGCGATAATATCTGATGTTTGTGCACGAGCTTGACTACCCAGTTGCCAGCTCCGTAATATGGATCATAATTTCGCCACCACAAACGGTGGTGATTGGCTTTACTGTATGATAAAAGCTCAGTGTGGTTACAGCTATAGTAAACTGCTTGGGTCAGATCCACCACTACGCTGGAAACTGAAGTGATCTACAATATCTTGGTGTAAAATTAATTAGGTTAATACTCGGGCCTAGGAAGTCTAATGTCTCTCATTGCTTCCGCATTTTGCCTGTTTGCATTGTACAGCCACATCGATGAAAATACTAGATCGCCTCCTACCGGTTTCGCCGTCTTTGAGGTCCAACCGGTGGGCAGGCACTGGAAGTTGTGGAGCAGTCCATGTGTCTTCGAATTTGTATCAGTATCGACTGTAGTGTGACAGATGAGGTCAACGAACGGATCTGAAAGGCTCGGATCGCATCTGTTAATTTGATATACCTATGACGCCAACGCGGTATATCTCTCAATCCTAAGGGACGTGTGTATCAGGCTATAGTGAAGGCTGTTAAGTCGTATGGCTGTGAGACCTGGCCTGTCCGAACAGCGAAACTGAGACGTTTTCCGGTCTTTGACGACCGTTGCTTCAGGATCAAAGCCCGTGCAGGTTGGTGTCCGCTAATCCGTAAAAAGGGGGTTAGAAAGCACGTTTTCGGTTGTGTAACAGGAATTTCAATTGAAGAATGTACCCAGCGCCAGAATCTGCGTTGGTTAGGTGATGTATTGCACATACTGAACCACCGTTTGGCGAAAAGAGCGCTGTTTCCCGTCCCCAATTCAAGGTGGTCGAAGCAGAGGTAGCCAACCCTTGATATTGGAGAGATGCGGAAGGGATTACCAGACTTTCGGATACCGTCGGTGCTACTCGCTGTCCAGGATGGGACCGCGAGATCCCCACCGCACCTGGTTGGGGAAGCTCCAGGATATGGCTGCTAAAAGATGCCAGTGGCGTACTTGTCAGTTTCCATCCAAGTTGCCTGAATGAGTGTCTGTAAGTATAGGCACCTCAGAATGATTGAAGTAAGCTAGCACTAAACCCCTTCCCTGCCCACTTTTATTATTTTCTTCACAATAAAGCTTTCAAATAAATCATGGTTATACGACAGCGAAGCATCAGTGCTCAACGCTGATGTCATGCTGTCGATGGTGACAATAGACCGGTGGGCCTAGTTCCCGAATTTCCATCAACCTTGAAAAACGTACCATGCGTCCCCCAAAACCCACCCAACCATGCAGTGACAACGCCTGCTTAGATGGTGATGAGACGCTTGCAAACCAGCCGCCAAGATCGGCAAAAGGACCTGTCGCCATCCAGTAAACCGCCACCCGTTCAACAACCAGTTAAGACGCCCGAGTTACCGCTATTTTAACAGTGTTCTCCTAAAAAGACCAACTCTCAAGAAAGGAAAGCTTTGGCTATTCTGTTCCTGCGGTCTCCTTATAGAAGACGCACTCACTATATTTGCTACTGTTTCATAAAACCTGGTCTACTACAGGAAGAGCTGTCCAGGAACCATGGAGCGAAAGCAGACCGTTGTGGAGACCAATCGGTAGAGAACTCTCTGAGCACTTTGTATTTTCCATTCTTTTCCCTTCCGACTTCAACTGAGCAACATCTTATTTAAATAATCTTGTAGACACGTCGGCTTCCTCTCAGCTAGAATGAATTCCTCGAGGTCACACGAGACAGGGTAGCTGCACATGGCCCTCTACAGCGGACCTAGGTCAACAGGGTCCACCTTGCCGGTAAGTTCCAGTTTGTTTTATAGAAGCAGCAGGTTAACACTTCTCCCTTCCACCTTAATTCCGCCTACATATCACCGATTTGTTTAAATAAGTTGACATGGCTGCTGGGCAGTGAAGCATCGGAACTTTGACATTAGTTGTATTGGGAACAATGAATCCATGCAAGGAATTATTTCATATTATTTTTTTTATGACAAGTGAGATGAAAATTAATTGTACCATCCATCGTGACCATTATGTTTGAAGTGCTAATTGTGGCATTCTCAGAACTAAGTTGACTGGCCGAAAAATACTATGCCACTCACTTCGCAAATCAGGCATGTATGGTCCAATCATGCCCTTCAACAGGTCTTCCACAATACGATGTTGAGGGTACTGTGCCCAATTTATCAACAGTATAAGGGAGGCTCTCTATGCAATCATTACCACTAATAAAAATAATTGTCCAGCTGCAGTATCGTTTCGGTACCTAGCTACTATGCCACCCGAAGGAAAGAGGAAGGCTGAGATACTGTCGGGTCGCCCAAGTCTAGACAGGAGCAATCGAGGTGCTGAAATCGGGCTCGAACCACGGACCTTCCGGCCAGTAAATTCACGGCTTAAACACTGGGTTATCTCATGCTCAACGACATTATCATTGATAGCAATAATTCCAGTGAAGGCCGAAAAAGATGGGGAACTAGTGTAAAGAAGCATTACGTCCCCAAAGAAACCGACGAATAATAGGCCTGTACACTTGGACAGCATTTGAATGAAAACCATATCGAATGAAGTCTGGATTGACCTAGCGTCCTTTGCGAACCTCCTCTGATGTAAGTCCAGCGCACGACAAGTGAACTTTAGCTAGGCAGCCCAGCTAGGAAATGACAACACTGGGATCGGTTACGTGACTTGTCCTGCAGAGTGCAAAACCACGTGCAAGCACTACAGTCAGCTTCGTTTTACTTTCCGGTGTTATGCTCTCCCCCACGAACCTTTCGCCTTCGAACGGGAAACGCCTTTTTTAGTAAAAGGCGGTTGAGTAAACTTAATATGCACCCCAACCACCTAACCTGGTAAGTTTAGTTTGTTGCCAAGTAACCCCTCACGCACCACATTGACCAGTACTCATTGCAGCCAGCTAACCCTGCTGGCTACCATTGGCTATGCAGACACCCATGGTCGAAAATTTGGGGACGCCTTAAGTCCTCAGTTCGGAGGCGCCTCACAAACATAAAGTAAGTCCACTACTACAAACATCCTGCACGCACGGCGAATTTCATTTCTGACGCCATAAGTGATTCAGAATCGCTAACGCACTCCGCAACTTCATTATTGGCGTATTCACTTCATCCGCTACAGTACAAGTGCGGTTTACGCGGCTGTCAGGATACGCAAACTCATCAACAAACTCATGCTCCTCATTCTCTTCAGCCTTAGAGAAGCACAAGAGGATGGGGGTGCTTCCAGCAGGGCATTAGACTATGAAGCGTAAAACGCATACCGAGACGCAGCTAATTTGAGCAGACGAATTACCGTCACGCAATACTCGGTTGTTCGCATAATCCAAGTCCACTATTCTGCATACGTCGTTTCGATACCTAGATTCAACGTTTCTTGGAATGTGCACTCTGTAACGACGTCGATTACACAACTGAAGGGGGAAGAGCAGACGACCCTGATGAACTCCACTAGTTGCGCACCATCACCCCACCAGAGGTATGATAATAAAGCAAGTTAAAAGTGTTTACAACCTTCATGGGCATCATCTCCTGGCCATGAATATTTCGGACTGTCTATCAGTGCAAAATCAAACGGAAGCCCGCCATGGTTGCAAAGCACACGTGATGCTGTTCAGGAATTCGACGCAATATGGAAAAATTATCAATGCACCTCCCGTCAGGTCGAAAACCTGCCTGACACTTTTGGACTTACCGAAGATAAGCGTCAGTGTAAGAGAAACTAGTAGCCAGCGTAAGACTTACATCCTTACGGTTGGAACAGTCGGTCCGAGCAGTCTTTGAACATTGCTACAACCGGGACACGTTCCTGCTCATAAATATGCGTGAAAAACGTAGTGCACGTGGAACACTAAGATTCATTGCTATTTTCGAACACGGCTGTTGGAAGATCACCTGGGCCAGCAGCCCAATTGCGCTTCGTATGAGCACTACATCAACTGATGCGAATCTAAACAGGGGAATTCGATGGGCAAAGGTCGGGTTGGAACCACAAACCTTCCGGTCAGTACATTCACGCTCTAACAACTTGGTCCACCTCGCCTCCGGCCAGGTAGAAACTGTCAGCACGCAGATCACTACCACTAACTTGACTCCATTTGATGCAGTTACCAGCCAAACACATGGCGGGTCGACTGGGCCTTACACAGGAAGGCGAACCACGCCAAAAACACCAGGGTTCCTATTCTTCCATACCAAGTTACCACCAGACAATTTCTCCCGTTAGTCAGAGCACATTACCAAGCCGGAAGATAATGGTAGGAATGATTGCTGCCCATTAGGTACCGGCTACACGACCAAACGCTTTTCTCATTACCTCGTTAGGAAGCCATCGCAGGCAACCGACATCACCAGCACTACTGTGATATCAAGGAAAAGATCTGATCAGCAGTCACAACCATACGAAGCTGATCTCACTGCACACACCATCACTGAAACCTAGAGATGCCTAACAAATGGTTCAGGGGTTTGGAGTTACTGTACCGACTTACCCAAGCACACCGCAGTCAGATGAGAAATTCTCCAAGACATTCAGCGCCTCTGCCGGAGTGGCAAGAAGCACTACCACGTTCCGAACCAGAACTTAGCACAGAAAAGCGTAACGCCGGAGGACAGTATGATTCAGGTGCTTCTGCTTCGTCTACGACCTACTACGGAGTAACATCAGCGCCGAATTAAACACCGATCCTTTCAAGGCACTCCACCTAAGTTGTTCATCGAAGACTAAACCGAACGATACCAAGGACGTCAACTTCTTCCACATGACATTCAAATGCCGAAATACCAGCTGTGCTCCATGTGGAAACGGTGGTTACCACTCCTTAGGGAATAATCAACGCCGATGAACAGACATGTAGACCAGTTTAAGAACAAGATCCAATTTGAAAATTTTATTGTACAGAGGGAGATCAAAAGATCATTCGGTGAGGATAGTCACGCTTGCCGAGAGAGAACAGGGAACGCAGGTAAGCATGGAGTAATTTCGAATCGGGATGTTTCTTCATCGCAGCGGATACCTGGCTGTCAACCACCTTTTGATCTTCTTTCCGTTCTTCACTAACGGAATACTTCTGTAAGGAAAATAAATGAGCACGGTTGGGGAACCAGAGTGGCAAATAAAAATCAGAAATACATTGCGTCACGCATTCAGGAGTAGCAAATAGACATCACTGGGAAAGTAACTAACCTTTACTTCATCCGTCAACAGTTTATCTACGCTACGCCTGTCCTCCTTGAGATCGACCCGTTTAAAGTACTCGTCCGTCACACGTTTAGGTATTTCGATCCCCGATAAATCGATACGTGTCTGGGTAGCAATAGCGTAACGCTGGTTAATACGACGCAACGGAACACCGTTGTATTTGAACGGCCCTAAAGATGGATAGGTTGTGTCAGGCTAACTTACCAGTAACAAGCAACAGTCCACTGCGAAGAGCTTTAAGAAACACGACACGTTTTCCTTTGTGTGGACCAGCAAGCAGAATCAATACCGTACCGGGTACAAATCCAGGTCGTATGCGCCTTTTGTGGTCAGAGAAGCATTTTGTCTTCCGAAGACGTAGTTTGCTCTTTCCCTGTTGTGTAGTGAAACTACGGGGCTGTATAGAATGTTAGAAGCGTGTAAAAGTACTCACGAATCGTTTCTTCGTCACTTCTTCCTTCACCTTAGTCTTCCCAACAGGGTAACGACCTTTAGCTCGCGGTTCATTCTTTGCCTTGAGCCTTCGGTTAATCCGGTGAATGAACTTCTTGTGTTCGAGGTATCTCTTTCCGGATATGACCCTGCGTTTTGCTGCTCGATGAGCGCGTGGAGCAGCCGACCCGACCTCTGACATTGTCCCAAGTGCGCCAAGTGCACCCCGAAGTCGATTTAAACAAGTCTAAACTTAGTCAAGCCCCTTGCGGTAAATCATAGTTGTAGTTTGAGACCTGAAAACCTTCGGAACTACCCATAAGGGCTACTACATCTCATTAAGTCGTATTTATAACAAGTCGTACATGGAACGCGGATTCAAATTTTTAAATCGAAAGGATTGTGCCGGATTCGACCCCCGTAGCAATTACGCAATTTTCCGGGGTGCTTGTTTGTTTTCATGCTTAAGAAGCCTGTTGGTGCTACTCCAGAAAATATTTTCGTTGAAAAGCCAGCCATGGGAAGCTAGTGAGATTAGTTAACTGATGAAGTGTGAGCCTTCTGAGTGCGCAATACGTCCGAAATCAGTTTCGTTTTTCCTCCGTGCAAATTTCTGAAAGAATTTTTTCATTGTTCAATCTATTCACATAGTACGCACGATTCATTGTTGAATTTTATTACTCGAGCAAAACATTTGAGAGATAACCCTTGTTATTTTGTGCATACTCCTTATTTTGCATCTAGTCCTAAACATGATATCACTTTTTACCGATTGCCCTCTGCAGCCATCGATAGACCACAAGAGATGTGGGCGAAATGGCTGCCCGTCGAACGTCAAACGCGGTATGTAATGCCACACCTGCAAGGCCTGGTGGCGCTTCAAATCCACGGAGTTACAGGACGACCAGAGAGGCCGACTAGCTAACTCTCCTGACCGGTTTGTCTGCGCCAGCTTACTCTACGTTAAGTGTGCGATGCATACCGCAGCCGAGAAGAGAGCCCCTAAACACGGTACTCAATCCCCATCGCAGAATCAGAAAGACCGATATGAGTGTTCCGCTTTGATCGGGATAGCGAAAGTGGAGCGTCTTTCTAAAGCACTGGAGCATTCATACATAAAGAATGCAGCGACTCGGACGAAAGTTGATAAGGAACTTTCTTCGCTGAACGAGTACCTCGTGCTATCCATAACGGGTACTCTGACGCATCTATAAAGACCACCACAGCGTCTCCGGTGGACAGGCGCTTAAGGGAGTACATGCTGGTAATCTGGGGGTCGTTCTCCGGAGAAATCACGCCAGCGAAGCTGACACAATCGATCTTTAGCAGTGTCTTCGCCAAGGCTGATCAATCGCTCCGCGCAGAATGGTTGCGCCAGAAGAGAAGCGAGCAAACCCTTGGGCTTTTAGTCACTCTCTCCTCCTTACCAGCCGTACAGAAGAACTTGGAGCGGGCTCGCAGCATTCAAAAGGCCAACACAATGATTAGGCGTCTACCTGAGGATCGCCCTCTAGACGCACGAAAGCTTGGTCACAGCAGATCAGGGGTAGAGGCACGAAGCAGGCTTCCGCTTGGCATCAATTCAGCCGACCACAAACTGGTGGCCAAGCTGATTATGGTCATAGCCCCTTGTGCTCACGGAAGCAGGCCACCACAACCAGCCGCGTCTCCAGGACAGCAGTTTCTATTCGACCACCACAGGCCTCTCGCCAACCAAGGACACTGATGCCCTGGAGGATGCAAACCTCAAATGCAAGCAGGGCCCAAAGTACGTGGAGCTATGGACGCTTATCTCCGTAACAGACGACATGTGCGGCCATGTACTCCTCACCAAATCCACGGCCTCTGAACTGGACTGAGTCAGATGTGCGGGGACAACTAGCGAGGCCAATCTCCAGCTCCACTCCGTCAAAAGCGGCCTCTCTGCTTCTGAACATAACCGTCGCCCAGGACCCCGACAACCAAAGCCATAAACGTGACTACAGCCAACCGAAAAGGGCCTCGCACATCGAGGTGGCCGCGCTGATCGCTGGCGGAATGGGTGTTCACACAAACACGGAAGAAAAGCGACTGCAGCCAAATAGGCCCTATAAGATTCGCCAGATTAAAAAACTGTTGGGTGGCTTCAATTTGCAGTCCTCCGCAGAAACGAGCCTCTTGAGAGCGCCACCCAAAGCATTACTTCTTGGTGCCGCCACACAGCGTTCAGGGCCTCACAGAGACACTTTTCCGGTCAACCCGCGGTAAACCACCCAAAAATTCAGGAGGGCCAAAGTTCGTCGCAAACCTTTGATCAACAGCAAATCGAGTTGCCAAAAAGACGGCGCTGAAAGAGCTACAGGAGGCAATGGTCGACATTTTCGCCCAAGGGTAAAAACCCCGTCCCCCAAAGCTAAAAGGCCCGAGCAAACCAGGCTCTCAAGGAACGAAAACATTCTCGCAAGCGAAAACCATCCCCGTTGACCACGAAGACAGGAAGCAGACGAAACTGCCACAGAGGCCCCTTTGAAGCCTTGTACTCAAACCCGGCGCACAACTTTTAGGGCTGCTAACCACCCTGTCACTCAACTTTCGGCTCCTCACCCTCGGAGGCAGCAGAGACAGTGTTGAAATGCTTGTTCACAAACTGCCTCAGCCTTTTCAACAACCTCTTCGATTTGAAACAGACAGCTGTCCCTGAACAACAGTCTATAATCGCATTTTCGCGGACCTGGCTCACACCAGATGTCTCTGAAGTGGATATCTCGGTAGACGGTTACTATATTTTTGAGTTCAATTTAAACGACGCATGGACGATGGGGTTGCACTGTAATTATATTTGGACTGCCGATTCCGATTGTCCCCTCTGATACCACACCTGCACCATCGGGCAATGAAATGTGGGTTGAAACACCGCTGTGCGGGTCCGATTGTCCCAAAAAAATGTGGTCTACCGTAGCCCAAAAAGTCTCCCCGAAGATGACCAATTCCTCATACGAACCCTTAAGCAACTCTCCTCCAGCTATAACCAAATTCTATAGAGGAAAATGTTGGTAGCCCAGGTATCGTAGATGGTGGTTTGCAATCAAATTGCCCAGTTCAGCGAACCAGCCAACGACCACCATAACCAAATTCATCTCCTGCTGGTGGGTGACTTCAACGCCCCAAAGGCCTCCTGGATGGAGCTCCAGCGCGTCGAATCAAGCGGACGTTTTGCAACGGCGCTGATTGAAGTCGTTCAACAGAGCGCTTAGACTCAACATGCCGGTGCACCCACAAGATACCGCGCAGGCCTATTACCATCCCTCCTGGATTTGGGCACCATTCACTTATGCCCTGTTTGAACAAAGCTTGACCAACTGGTTCTTCACCGTTAACCGAGTAAACACACGGCGGGGACATAGTAAGAAGATTTTCAGGCTCAGAGCGCACACATTCATTATACGAAACTTTCTCTCATTTTGAGTAGTAGCTGCTTGGAATGGCCTTCCTCCGACGGTCGTCCAGGCTCCTTCTAGAACCCAGTTTAAAGCACTATTAGACATTTATTTATGCGAATCCTCGCGCTGGCAAGCATACTGCCCCGTGCTGAGAACATAAAGAGCAGTGCTAAACCTTCTCTCACCTGTGCCATTAAAGTGAACGACAACCACTGACTGATTAGTACAAAACCGACCAGGGAAACTTGGACCGGAGCCTCGATCCCGTGTAGCACTACGTGAATCACCACGTGATCCTTGTATTTGCGATAAAGGTAGACAAGAATTAGCGGCGACATTTTGCGTTACAGACGGTTCTTCTGTCTCTGTGGCAGTAGCCTCCAAACATAGAAAGCCAAAAGATGTTCCACGAGTCCCAGGAAGCAACCTAGCACAGCAGGTTTTTCAAAAATTTCAGTCGTCCATGATTACAGAGGCCTACACAGATGCATGACACACTGGAAAATTATTAGCCTGTTAGCCCTTCTGAAAGGACCGGGCGTTCATTATCGAAGCGGCGATTGTGTGACGGCGTTAACCAAGAACGGTTGCTGCGGCATTAGAGGCAGCAGGGAATAACGCAACTTTGTTGCAAACTGTGTAAACTATCGTGAAACCAGAGTCGGTGGATTGATCGTCTCAGGTGAATCGATTACAGCAATGGTCGAACAGAGCAAGGTTTCAGTGTAATCGTTGTGAAGACGGTCGCACTCATCCGATGGATTGCCAGGATACACAAAGTGCTTCCAACCGCTGTAAAAAACGTGGCCACCTCGCAAAAGTGTGCCGCTCGGCACCAGCTTTCGAAACCAACACTGTTGAAATAAAGTTACAAGGTCAGAAATCTCGGAATACGTCCTCCATGCAACTGCCTCCACCAGCCGCGTTCAACCGCGGTATGAAGTAGAGCTACAGGTGAACAGTGCGCCAATGTTTTTTGGGGCTGGATACGGGTAATGTCATAACACTATGCAGTAAAAAATCATGACAAGACAACCTGGGACCGACCGTGAAAGGTAAACTTCAGCAAGCCCCTACTCGGGTGAAGGAGAAAAGGTGAAGTTGCTGGGGAAGAAAAATGTGAATGTTTCATATAAGGGTGTGACGGTGGACGAAACCATATACATTGCTGAAAGAAGTGGTGCCAACCTATTAGAACGTCTCAACAACTGCTCATACTTACGGTCTCGACACTCCCTGAGGTTCAATCTCATCCGAAATCATGAAGAGGTATTTTCAGAGCCTGCTGAATCTAACTTGACCCCATGATTATTCCCCCATTAATTTGCCTACCCCGCCTATGTACTTTGGTTTCCAGCTGTTTTGCTTACCCGCACCCGCCACTCACCTTGGCGCAGAGACTGCCTTTCCGATACTTGTGTATTGACGTTGTGTCTGTGCGTAAATATGCGCTGCTGACCTACTCACCCATGCGCGTTCATGTCCCGTTTGCTGAGCCTGCCTTGATTTGTTTTCTCATGAGTTCCGTGTGATCGCACGTTTAATGAGAATCGCGAGACCGTCGTCTGAAGGGACGACCGCAGCCCATGCTACTATGTCATCATTCCGCTCGCCGTTGCTTGGTGCACGAACGTTGACACCGCACCGTGCCGGTCAGTGACAGGTCTGTAAACTTGTTGAATTTACGAGCGTGATCTATTGGGGTTTGTCGTATACATTTTCTTACCCTTTTGTAAACAGTACCGTAGAATTACGAACCCAATTCTTCCTTTTGATATTCAGG